TGGCAACTTTTCAAGAGAATAGTGTAAAGTTTCAAAAATAAAAGTTTAAAGAAACCGAAAATTAACCGTTAACTTTTTTAAGCTTACTTAAATTTCACATATACTTAATTTGTTTCATGTAGTTCCTATTATTTTTATAACTTTCGTGTGACAAAAGCACATTTGACGTATGATCATACACACATCAAAAAAAGTTTGCGATCACTTCGAAAAACTGAAATCTTTTTTGTTACTGTAGATTATATTATGATTTTTTCTTCTTTTTAGATTCTTTATTTAAAAATAAATTAGAACATAAAACAATGACCCCGTTCAATTGTTTTTTCATATAAAAAGGCTTTCAGTCCTAGCTTACGCTCATTCAGAAATCTGATTTAGTCAATTATAAGCGATTCAAGATATTTTTCGCGGAAAATTGTGATTGAAAAAATGCCAAGAGGATTATCAGAGGTTTTACGAGCTAGAATAGTAACTTTGAGGGAAGAAGGATACACCACGAGAGTAATAGCACGCAGACTTGCTATATCCCAATCCTGTGTCGTGGCTACGTTGCAGAGGTATCACGGAATGGGGAATTTAGCTGACCGACCCCGCAGCGGTCGCCCAACTGTTTTGACAGCTGCCCAAAAGCGCTATATTAGATTGCTGGCAGCCCGTGATCCAACAATCAACGCCACTAAAATAAAAGCAGAAGTCAGGGCCGCCTCTGGGCTTGAAGTTAGCACGCAGACCGTTCGCAATTGCTTGCACCAGGCTGGATTACGAGCACGGAGGTCTTGGCGAGCTCCGCTCAATTCCCGGCAACGTCAACAACGAAGATTGCAGTGGGCTAGACTTCGGCAAAATGAAGAAGGTGAGGACGAAAACATTTGGCAAAACTGTCTCTTCGTTGACGAATCCCGAATCAGCACTCATCCAGATAACCGACGTGTCCGTGTCTGGAGAAGACCAGACGACCGTGAAAGACAAAGAACTGCCACTGGAATAGTTCAGCAAGGCGGAAAATCGGAGTCCTTTTGGGGTGGCATTATGGTTGGAGCTAGAACGCCTTTGATCCCGTATCGGGGCTTCATGATAGCAGACATGTACAAAGCAGTTGCTATTGATGATATCGTCAGACCATTCCGAGTAAACCATGGGCACCAATTTGTACTGGTCGATGATAATGCGCCCGCACATCGAGCTAAACGAGTCAATGCTGCTCTTCAAGAATACGATATCACACGATTAGACTGGCCTGCCGGCTCGCCCGACTTAAACCCAATAGAGCACGCGTGGGATGCTCTTAAACGAGCAGTATGGAACCGTGAGCCACGTCCCCAGACAGTTCCAGAGCTCAGGGAAGCCGCTATTGAAGAATGGGATAGGTTACCCCAGGAAATGCTGGATAACTTGATCCTCAGCATGCCCAGGAGGATCTTCGCATGTATTCGAGCCAGGGGAGGAGTTATTTTATATTGAATTCACACCTTTTAATAATAAATTGTTGTTTAAGTTTAATTAAACAGTCTTTTTCTTTCTATGAAATTTCTATCACTATTACATTATGATTAATGGCTCAATTTTTTAAAATAAATAATAAAAAATAGTTTTATATTTTAATTTCAAACAGGGTATTCCTATTTAAAGAAAGCATACAACATAGATTTTTTCTTGATAAAGTTAAATTTAAAGAATTATAGGAGCTTATGCTATTGATCGCAAACTTTTTTTGATGTGTATGTGACCTTATTATCATCACCAAAGGGTACGATTTTAACCTCACATTCTAGAAACAGCTGTTTTTTGAGAAAAACTGATCTGCCCTCTGTCGGCATTGTGCCTAACGTACCCGCTACAGTTCTATGACATTATATAAACATTGGCAATCGTACGACTTGCTACGCAAACGTGCGATTGCACGTAATTACCTACGTGAATTTTTTTCGGAGGTTAAGTAGATACTTTTTTCTTGTCACAGGAAGCGCTAGAAGTTCTACGAACGGCACCGGCGCGTGTCGAGTTACGGGTCTGCCGCCCGCCCCTTGAAGCATTGGAGTCGGTCACGCCGCCTGAGCCGCCTACGCCGCCTGCGCGCACGCCGCACCCGCCACATCTACCGCCTCATCAACCGCTGCTTGATCCGTTGAATTGCCATCCTATGCATGCCAGGTGAGACAATTATCGACATTTCTTTGCTAAAACTGAAACATTTTCATTAAATAGATTATAATAGCTGTACAGGTTTAAAAGGACAAAACCTTACTATTTCCACGATTCTTAAAATGTATTCTTGTAACCTTTGTTTACATTTTTAATCTCTAATACTATCACCGGGTACAGGTTTCCTATTTGAGTAGGTATCGCATGTTTGCATTTGCAAATAAAAACTAAGCTGTCGTCTAATACAAAAAATACACAAGTATAATAAATGTTGATGACCTCGGTGGCCCAAAGCGAATTAACACAGATAACACTGTGAGCGCTAGATGGATTGACCGCCTTTGCGCATTGCATCCGATTCGTATTCGTTCCAAATCTGGGGGTCTACTCACGATCTCCGTCCGACATACGTCCGAAACAATTAGCCAAATAGGCAATACCTGACCAAATGAAAAGACGCGTGATGCGAATGTAGCTTCATACTTGATACTTGTCTTTTAATTTTGTCGAATATTAGAGCATAGAGATCGAGAGTAGACCCCCTGAGACTATACAAATCTAGAAAACTCGAACCAATCGGACTAAGTCCGATTCCAATCCGAGAAAATACAAATATCGCTTGTACACCTAGAGATAAAATAATCCTTGTAACATTTCGGACCGTCATTTCTGGGGTTCGGGAAGCAGTGTACAAACGCACTTAGGATATGAACTTTTCTAAAGTGGTTCTAGTCTGTGTTCTGGACAGTAAAAGGAATTCCTTTCTTCGAGACCAGGTAGCTGGTGTTATTATTAATAAATTATGTGACCTATGCTAAGCAGTTTATTTATGTTTTATAATTATTTATATGATTTGGAAATAATTTTTATTTATTGGTTTTGTATACAAAAGTATATATTACTATTTTGCCATCTCCCTATATGATGCCCTCAGTAAGGTAAGTAAGCGTCACGCCTGTCCATAACAGTTGCAGTGTCACTCAGGCCTTTAAATCGCAAAGATCAAAGGACGCTCCCACTGCGCCCGGCACCCTTAGACATAAGTGGAAAAGTCTCATGTGCCTGTAATTTCACCAGCACCCTTACTCTTCAGATCCGGAACGCAGTATATATATATATATGTGTGTGTATATGTATAATATATGTGTGTGTGTGTGTGTGTGTGTGTATATATGAGATGTTTATATAAGGATATAGTTAGTCATGTATTATATGTTGCATAATGTATGTACATTTATGTTGTATTTAAATTAAGTATCATAATTATTTACATTGACCTCATCTGTTTTTAATTTGTCATGTTATGCACCCCTGTGAATTACTCTGTACCCAGTTTTCCGCTTGACTGGTAGAGTATCCCTAACGGCATTAAGTCCGCCACTTGTACAATTTTGTGTGCAATAAAGTTTAAATAATTAAAAAAATATACCGTCAAATATTTTTTCTTTCATTGAGACGGCAGAAATGAGAAATTTTCAAATCATGGTTCGTGACACGACGTCGGTAGTCCAACGGCTTGCACTATGAAGAGGTTCTTGGTTCGATTCGTAGTAGGACCAATTTGGGAATTTAACATTTCTAAATTGATTCACGAATCTGTCGAATCCAGATTTGTCCTACACCGAACAAGAAGTTCGGCTTAGTGTCCCGGAATGAATTCCATAACCATGATACACATAGAGTACGCGGAGAATTCTCTTCTTTGAGACCAGGTAACTGCTGGTTCCATTAGTTTCCGAAATTCCACGACAAAAGTTCATGACTCGTTGCTACGTACAGACACAAAAAGAGACACCTAAGATCAGCATAGGTACATACATGTCTAGAAGGAGCTATACTTTACCCCAATCCATTACCCAAGTAATCCTTATCAGCTGATAGTAGCCATTATACATACCACTCACCATTTCGCACTAATACTCTGATATATTGTTGAAATATATCTCTTTATACATAATCATAGTAAGTTATTCACCAAAATATCCAATGTACACTCCGTTAATGTAAAGAACGAGGACAGTCTTGTCTTCCCTGTAATAAGAAGCACAGCACTTATGTAACGGCAATCAGAATTTATAACAAATGCCCATTAATATTAATTTTAACGCTTAAATGGTAATCAATTCAAAGCTCTAAAAAAATGGCTAATTGACAATGTTTTTTTTTATAATCTAAATGAAATATTTGACAATTGTGCTTCATGTTTAATTTTATTTTATGGAAATGGACATTTAATTTGTTTTAATGAGTTCATTGAATTTTAATGTCTGTTATTTTAAAACGTTGTACGCTCTACTTGGATAAGAACTGTAAACAAATTACATGTAAGACTTTTAATCTACCAGTTCATACAATAAATGTTTCTAATTTCTGATTTAATAGCAAGAATGCTGTTGAAGGTTGGAGCGTACAGTAAATAATTCCACATTCCCAGACACCCAAATTAACCATGACAAGGACGATAAACGCTCTCCACGCATCCCTAACACAAGTAATGCGTCACTTATGGAACATTTACATACATTTTGTTCCTAAATTGCATACGTTCACAATTTTATGTCCATAAATACTGTCATTTTTACATAAATTTACATAGGTTCGCTGCAAGCAATTACAGAGAGTGCTAATTGAGTCTAACATAAATAATAACCACTTGACAAGTGAATTCAGCGATAAAGTGAGTTTTACTTTATGAAATCACCCATTTGTTAAGAGAAATGAAAGATAGAGATATATTTATTTGTATAAACTACAGTAATTGGCATACAAATATTAATACCAAAGTACACAATGTTCGCATATTTTGTGTCATATCAGGTATATACTGCTCAAAATAATTAAAGGAACAAAACTTTAAAGTAGAACTAAACTTTTTGCTTAAGGTTTTAATTATAATTGGCCACTAAATAATATAGAGGCATTGTCGAAGAAATTGAAAACCAAAAAAGCATCTACATTTTTGCTATTAATTCTCAATAAAGTGGCCAAGAGTCTAAAAACTAAGTGACGCCATTGAATTTTCTTTACTTTCCAATCACAGAAAACACATTTTAAGCGAGTTTTCAGGTCTTTTGAGTATTAATAGAGATTGAAGTGAGTCTTTTGAGTATTGTTATCCATTGAAGCGAGTTTAGGTCATAATTCCAGATCTGACTGAATTGTATGTCTCCCGAGCTATCGCTTTGCTGGAAGAGGGTCGAACTATGCGTTAAGTAGGAAATGGTCTAGGAGTAGCCCCTTCTGTTATCAACAGACTTTGGAAGCGATACCGTGAGACGAGAGAATACTCACTGAGGCGTGGCCAAGGTCGAAAGAGAAAAACGACACGTTTGCAAGATCGCTATATCGTCAACTATGCTTTACGTAACCGCACCGCAACTGCAAGAGATCTCCAAAATGCACTTGACAGGCGCATCCAGAAGCGTCCTATTACAGCTCAAACACTGCAGCAGCACACTGAAGCGTTGATTGAAGAATGGGAGCGAATTCCACAAGAAGGTATTCGGAAGATCATACGAAGCATGGCGCGTCGTTGTCAAGCTGTGATTAGGGCTCATGGGGGCTATACCCGTTACTAAAAGTCACTAAAGTCGTTGTCAAGCTGTGATTAGAGCTCATGGGGGCTACACACGTTAGTAAAAGTTACTAAAGACGAATATTTAATCGTTATAAGAATATTTCTTTGACGGACCTTTTTTATCACCAATTAGTTTTTCGCCAACAATGTACATTTTAATTTTTTTTTTAATTAAAAAATACAAAATGAGCTTTTCTATTAATTGTAAAAATTAAAAAATTAACAAGCAAAAAATGAACATTAAAATTTATTTTGAACCTAATAGAAAGGATCAAAATCTTGTTCCCCTAATTGTTTTGAGCAGTATATATTTGCGAATACGAATGAAAGAATCCGGCCTGATCGAAAGTATTTTTTTCGAAGTGTTCGATCTTTATATTAATAATTATAAAAGACTTATGATTGAATAAAAAGAGGAACACAAGTCTAAGTAATAACATATACCTATAGGACAAAAATAATAAAAACAAAATTGTACACCGGGGTTATCATAACATTTATAATTCACTTTATTTTATGAACACTGTCACTAATATTTTTTTTAAGTGTACGTTTATTATTGATTTTTTTATGATACCAAATTGGGACCAACAAGTCGTGGGCCTGGTGATAAGCGGTACGCCTGTCCATAACAGTTGAAATGCCACTCAGAGCTTTAAAACACAAAGATCTGAAGGGTACTGCCACTGCGCTTGTCACCCTGAGACATCACACTGAGCTATGCAATTCGATCTCGGATTTCTTGAGTGAACGTTCCATTCGAGTGGTCTTAGAAGGCTACTCTACCGAATATATGACGATAGATGCCAGAGTTCCTCAGGGTTCCGTACTGTCTGCAACTCTCTTTCTGCTGCATATCAATGATCCGTTAATTCCAGATACCTTTGCGTATGCTGATAACAGCACAGTGGTAGATAGGTACTTGACCAATGCAAGGATCAGTGGGGAGGAAATCCAGTCTTGTCGAGAGTCCATGGTTAGCCGTTTAGATTTGACGCTCAAGGCAGTCATCTTGTCAAATTTAACGCTACCAAAACGCAGGCGTGTCTATTCTCCACTAAACGGAGTCCCTCTGAGTTGACTCCGACTTTTCGTGATGTATCCATACCGATAGCCGACCGTCTCCAGCTACTTGGACCTGTCGTCCAATCTGCAGATACATTGAATCCATGGCTGAAAATGCAGCCAGGAAGCTAGGCATCCTTTCCAGTGTGAGGTGTTACTTCACACCGGGACAGTTGCTTCAGCTGTATCAAGCACAAGTCCGGTCGTGTATGGAGTACTATTGCCACCTTTGGGATGGCTCTGCTACATACCAAGTGGCCACCTTGGATTCAATTGACAAGCGTGCCAAGAGGCTTATAAGTGACTCGGAATTAGTAGAGGCGAAGCTGCAGAGCCTTGAACACCGCCGTAAAATTGCCTGCTTATCGGTATTTTACAGGACATATCACGGAGAGTGTGCGATAGAATTACACGATTTAATTCCGCCTTCCCCTTTCCCTCATCGAGGGACTAGGCGTAGGCTTGGCTTCCACCCCTATGTTGTGGATATTCCAAAGATTCGAGCGAAGCATTACGCTTCCACATTTATATGGCGAACGGCTATGGGGTGGAATTCCCTGCCTGCGTACTTGTTCCCTAAACGTTATAACTTGGACCTTTTCAAGGCGAGAGTGAATAGGCATTATCTAGGTGTGCATGCTCCATCGTCGACCTCATCGTCACTTTCCATCAGGTGAGATGGAGGTCAAATGCACACTTATATTTGAATAAAAAAAACATAAGTTCACAAGTCCCATGTGCCTGTTATTTCACCAGCACCCTTAGCTTACCTTCAAAACTGGAACGCAGTAATTCTCACATTACTGCTTGGCGGCAGAAATAGGTAAGGTAGCAGTACTTCCCTGGACGAACTCTTTCATAAGCTCTACTGCTACTAAATTTATGAATGTTTGAAATGCAAATTGCTCGTGAATAACATTAGTGATGCAACGGACCTCTGCTTCTTCTTCTGATTCGTGTCCAGTCAGATTGTAGGAATTTTTCTTTGCGTTATTCGAACTTTGTATCAATATAATAACAAAATAGTGAATTTAAAAAAATGAATATCATGGTAGCAAAAACATTGCTCAACTCAGCACTTGTCTGACAATTTCACACTTTGGTTTTGTATATACACGTCGTTAATTGTATCACCAACGGTAACCTATCACAAACTCGAAAATATTTTTGTCCGAAATAACGTTCGTTCGAATTTTCATAACACCGAAAACCGAATTACAACGAAACAGTTGTTCTTTCAGGATATGTTGAATGTTGTGAAAAACATTTTCCTCTCAAAATTACTTTCGAGGTTATGAAATTTCGACCAAACTTTATTTCTGGAAAATGTCATTTCGGACTACTGATAGATAACCATAATCGACTCATTATGCGACCCACTGCTAGACACGGATTACCTCCAAAGAGAAAAAGAGGATTTAGTCAAAGTTTACGACGCTGCCGCTGGCCCTATGTGGGTCAAAGACAAACTCAAAGTCAAACAATCTTCATTTCATAGGTAAGCAAATTACACTTGAAATGGTCATAGTAGTTAAACTCTACGCTCATTCGTAAGGTGGATTCCCCTGAGAAGAGTGAGCAAGAAACTCTAGGGGTTGCTCTTTGCAAATATACATTTGAACACATTTATCATTTACAATATTTATTTCGAACATCATAGATCGGGACTGCCTGCAAGAGCGTGAACCCCTCGATTTGTATGGTTTTCTTAACCGGAGGTATTGCTACTAAATATTCCCATATGTACGAGATTCGAACTATCTCTCATTGGGCTTACCTTTCTGTGATTATATAACTTAAAAATATTGTTTCGTAACAGGCTCTCACAAACAACCAGCAGTGCGACCACATCATCATCAGAGGGTAAAGGCCGCAGAGAGCACAGTCCTGAAGCAGACAGACGAGATCTTCATCTTCCCGATCTCGATCAACCTTTACCAGTCTATAATATTCAGTATGGGGTAAGTCAGAATAGAACAGAATAGAATAGAAATCATTTATTCTGTATAAGAGCACAGTACACACACATTATATTACAAAAAATACGTAACAGTTAGCGACTACAAAGTTAGATACATAATAAAAAAGATAGCACAACATGCCTCATTGCAAACTATTTAACAATTTATGAGGGAAAGATAAAGAAAAAAAAAATCAAAAATAAAACTGAAGAAAACTTAAATAAATAATTAATTAGTGTAACGAATAATAAGTAACAAAAATGAGCAGCGTGTGCGCTGTGCCGTTACAGAATCCGTCCTCCACTCAGCCTGTTGTCGTCTCACTGAAGGTACTACGACGCTGTTTTTCAGTACATGCGGCAACAGGAATACTTATGGAACGGAACATAGCAGATGTATAACTAGATTACCTTGTCATAAGCACTATTTCAACATAAATAAATTTCATTTCTAAATGTACATATCTTAAGAGACAAACCTTATTTAATATTTTTTTAAGTAACAAGATTAATAAATCTCATGATATATCGACATTTATATGGCGAACGGCTATGGAGTGGAATTCCCTGCCTATAGACTTATTCTCTGAACGCTATGACTTGGATCTTTGCAAAGCCAGAGTGAATAGACATTATTTAAGTGTGCAATGTTCCATCGTCGACCTCATCGTCACTTTCCATTAACTATGATGAAGGTCAAATGCGCGATAGTTCATATAAAAATAATACATAAACTTTAGTACGAGAAATATAAGCTCTAAGTCTCCTGGCCCTGTGACAAACTGTGACATACAACAGCCTTCTGCACACTAGACGCCATTTTGTCGCCACTGAAAGAGCAATACGCGTAGAAGATCTATAAAATTTGGGTTAAGCGATTTATCCACTAACGTAACTTATTAATAATAAAATATTTATAATTGATTATTTATAAATATTTTATACCAAAATTGACTACCAGAAAGATTCAACATTAAACTTAAAAACCAACGGTGCCTTTTTTGCTCCCGAGTAGAGAAATAAGAAGCAGTATTTTCAAAAGGATGAAATAATACTCCAGAGACTCTTCTCATGAATACAAGTTGCTTTTTTGAATATTCGGTTTACTTTATTTTTCATTCCGCCCTATTTCTTGCTTTTCAAGAAGGCGTAAGTACTTATTTGCATTTGCGTCCTACAACGCCTGTAGAAGACCTAGATTCTACTATTAAATTATTATCGTGCTTCGTTACAGTAATATATTCTAATTATCATTATCCACGTTATTCCCGTCGCCACGTAATTTCGCATGTCCTAATTTTGGGGAAAAGGAGACAAGTAAAAATTTCATGAATTTTAAGGTTTGATGAAACCAAATCAATAAGTTCCGAACTCACCCTCATATTTCTGTTTAATATTTAGTACGGGTACTGCAAACAAATAAAGGCTGTTCCTCCATAAATATTGGCTAAAACCTAAACTTCCTGCAGAGTTATAAGTATAACTTTTTAATGCAGACTCAATTTACATTGCAAATTAATAAAAAAAAATTGTTTACGCTACCCAGGACGACGGATCAGTGGTAAGTAAATTATCCCTTTGGAGGATATCAAAATACTTTTTTTTTATAATTCATAACAGTTAATAAGAGTAAAACCAACTTTAGACAGAAACAATGTTACCCTGACCTATACAGCCATTCATTTTTTTTAAATAAATTTCTAAATCCAACAAAAAAGTTTTTATCTCACTGCCGGAAAACAAAAAGTTTCCAAATTCCCTTGTTACCATCTGGCCGAAATTACAATTAAAAATATTTTCGCAAGCGTTTTGTTGTTTTCAAAAAAGTATTTCTACAATTGTTTTTGACAAGCATTACTGGTTTTTGAAGTAGATGGTTTTAAAAAGAAAAAATAGATATAGAAACTATTTATTGGTAATTAAGATTGTAAAAGCTCTCCGCTCAACCCAAAGTAATGGTTTTTATTTAGTTAATTTATTATTATTATACATCTTTACATTAAATAATGCATTTTTCAGGAATTCGACATAGTAATGACGAAGGTGAATGGCTCCCTGGGTTTCACGCTGCGTAAAGAGGATCACAGCGCGTTAGGGCATTACGTGCGCGCGTTGGTAAGGGAGCCGGCACTCAGCGATGGACGGATACAGCCCGGGGACAGAATTGTAGCGGTGAGTTGTTGTTTATTATGCTACCCTGGTACGTCCTTGGGGTATCCGGTAAGATATTTAAACGACAATGAAATTTTAATTAAGTACAAATTTTAATTAATTATATAAAATAACTTCCTGTGCTACTTTGGAGACTCTTTGAACTTATAGAATATTGTACCGAAAACATAGCAAGTGAATATTACATAATCATTCCATTATGGTAAAAAATAAATATTCCCAGAATGTTCCGGATAAAAATGCTTGTTAGGAATTTCATTCTTTTTTATGCAAAATTAAGTATTTTACAAGGCTTTCGAAGAAAATATGGTACCAATTCCTAATTCCCATTTTCCACGTAAACACTTGTTATTAATGATCTTATACATACAGGGTGTAATCGTTTATTTATTTATTTATTTTGCATTTTACATGGTTGGGTGGTACAGATTTATAACCTTAGGACTATTTTAGTCGGAACATTCATGTGATACCCCGTAAGGGTGTAGCAAATTACACTTAAAATTAAGATTAGAATTAAAATTAATATACATTTTAGACTTGAACGTAATTGATTAACATGGGTTTAATATTACTATTTATATATTTATTTATTCGTAGATAAACATATATTATTAACATTTAAGGTAAGTACGTACTTTCATATCAATTTAAAGCTTTTTTGATATCTCTTATATTTATGGAATAATCGCCTGGGCTCACTTAACGATTACACCTTGTATAAGATCATTGCTGTTTATACTTTGTTACGGAAATATTCTATGAAAATATCAAAAACTCTAAATTCAAAATATCTTTATTCCATAATATGTTAGCAAATTAAACATGAAATCGTTAAATTTAAACCTTTACTCATTGGTAAGGCAGATTCCCCTGAGATTTATCCTCTAATAAACAAGCCTGTACCCATAAGCAGAGAATCTATTTTGCATCAGCAACATTTCACAATTCTTTTTAAAATCGATCTATTTCATAACAGAGAGATATTTCTCTCAAAATGCTATCGTACCAGCGTTCTCTCGTAACATGGAATTTTGCCAAACACCTGTTCAAACAACAGTTTGATATACGAAATATTATTCATCACTTACAGTGACCAAAAAACCCATTCATGTTTCTAAAACTATAGCCGTAGAATATATATGCAAGAGATTAATGGTTTTTTAGGATTAGGTTAGAGCAGTAGCGCTCCTTGTGAAAACTTTACCTAGTTCTGCCGCCAAGCAGTAATGTGATAATTACTACGTTCCGGTTCGGAAGGGTTAAGGGTGCTGGTGACATTACAGGCACATGGGACTTGTCAACTTATGTCTCATGGTGACGGGTGCAGTGACAGTGTCCTCTCTTTACAATTTAAAGCTCTGAGTGGCACTGCAACTGTTATGGACAGGCGTGTCGCTTAGCACCAGGCGCACGACTTGTTCGTTTCGTCACTTGGTATTGTAAAAGGTGGTTCGGACATGTAGAAAGCGAATGAATCAAAGATGATTGACGAAACAGATTTATAAGTAAGGATGCATATTAATTACGGTTCGATTTTAAGAAGATCGATTCAAGTGTATACTATCTAGTCATTCTTTGGATCGATTAATTGCAATGCGATTTTTATGCAAATCGATTCGACATTAATGAGAATCGTATCATCTAGATCGTATTCATAATTTAAACAAAACTGTCTTTCGAACCTCGACTGAATCATAAGATTAAGCCTATTTTATATTGGTCTACAAGAAAAATAGTTTGGCGACATCTAAGTACAATAAGTCTACGATATTTGTCGATTATCTAGTAGCAGTAGATATTTAGTAGCAGTAGAGCTTCTTGCGAAAAGAGCCGAAAGTACACCTTATCCATTTCTGCCGCCAAGCACCAATGTCAGCATTACTGGAACACAGTAATACCGACATTATTTTGTAGGGTAAGGGTGCTGGTGATATTACAGGCACATGGGACTTGTCAACTTATGCCTCAGGGTGAAGGGCGCAGTGGCAATGCGCCTCAGATCTTTGCGATTTAAAGAGCTGAGTGGCACTGCAACTGTTATGAACAGCTGTGTAGCTTACCATCAGGTGCACGACTTGTTCGTCCCGTCGTTTGATAATTATTATAAAAAAAACGCTACTTCTGTGGTATCTGAACTTCTTTTCTCATTGGTATCAACTAAATGAAAGTGGTAAACTCGTAACCCAATGAAGACAAAAAAGCTGTCAATGTTGTATTTTTTATGAAAATTAATTTTAAAATGATTTTTATGAGATTGATTCAAGAGCATGATCCGATCTATGGATTGATTCAAAGGTATATGATCCATTGCAATCCAAAAAATCGTTTCAAAGCAAAAAGTTGTGCATCCCTATTTATAAGGCCAGTGTGAGCGGACCAAAGTGGGCACGTTTTAAAGAAAGTGCAGATCAAGAGTATACAAAAAATATCAAAAATCGAAATTATCATTACTTCATAGGTAAGCATTATTACAGAGGAAATCTTCACATTGGTTAAACTCTACCGCTCATTCGTAAGGCAGATTCCCCTGAGAAGAATGAGCAAGAAACTCTAGGGGTTGCTCTTTGTAAATAACATTTGCATACATTCAACATTTACAATATGTTTTTTTTTTGCTTTCAAACATCAGAGATCGAGACTACCTCCATGAGCTAAACGGGTTACTACCACGGATTTTTGTCATCTAAGTACGCAGAAGTTGTATAATAACCTTTAGTATAAAGTTTTTGTTTCACTATAGTTTTAAACATTGTGAATGACACATTTTGTATATCAACAGGAATATTATTGTTATAGAAGCGTATATATTGCCCTTTTAATGAATTTGTGACTTTGTGATGACGACTATCATGAACAGCTACTTTATTTTTATTCTTCGTGTTAATGTTATGTCTGTCACTATTTTTTGTCAAGAAATTACTATTTCTCTTAACATAAATAACATTTTCATAAATGTACTGTGACGCTAGTGTGTAGTATATATAGTATATCATTAATTCTTTGGGATGTTTTCCATCGGTCTGGGCAATCGATCTAATGATATTTATTCCCATTTGAACGTAGATTCACATTATACAATTAGCACAGAGAAATCCTAAATACATCCCTGTTCTATTCGCCTCCAATTTGTGTTTGGCTTGGATAACATAGATTCTTCTCAATAAATACATTTGATTTTAACGAAGGCATTTTTAATAAGGTCGGATGATGGAAACAGCATTCGCTTTTGACTGGTATGACAAAAGGGAAAAGGTCAATTGGGTTAATTTATCAAATTAGCTATTTTTACCCCAATCTTCTGGGAAATATTGAAAGGGAAAAATGTATTTGTTTATCTATTGATTAAAACCTTGATAAAGTCTGACGTTAAACATAGTTATTAACGAGTGGACATTGATGTCAAACCCTATCAGAGTTTAAAGCTCTACGAGCAAAGTTAGTAACCGAATAAAAGTTAGAAATCGCAAACTCACACGGACCCCTTTTGTGTGTTAATTAAGACTAATTGACGACGCTGCTGCTAAACTAGTTTCGACATGTTGTTTGACATTGTTCAGACTAGGCATTGCAGTACCGGTAGATACTGTGTACTTTAGAGATTGGCAATTCCCGGTACCTATAAAAATTTGTTCGAAGTTCTGGTAAATTTGGGTACTCAAAAAAAATCCATTGACAGTTTCAGAAAATATTTTAGTTCAAAATAAATTCAAAGTAGTAGCACAGAAAAAATATCACATTATTCTTCTATTAATTTCGGAGCAAAATACACAATATAAAACAAACAGTTATTGAAGCATCAATATAAATCTCAAATAAACTCGATTAAAATATGTTATTAAATGAATATAATTCAAGTCTTTTAGCGCTATTATGTAATTGAATTATTGCGATCTCTCATCTAATCTTCATCCTTGTTAAATTTTGGCATTATTATGTTTTGTAATAAAGCCCATAGTACTATATGAGGCCCATAGTTACTATGGTTACTATGTACAACTGGTTACTGTGGCCCATAGTTACTATGGGCCGGAAATTACTATCGTTACTATGGGCCTCATAAAAAAGCTCAAAGTCACTCAACGAGGCATGGAGCGAGCAATGCTCGGCATTTCTCTACGTGATCGAATCGGAAATTAGGAGATCCGTAGAAGAACGAAAGTCACCGACATAGCTCGAAGGCTAAGCAAGTTGAAGTGGCAGCGGGCAGGGCCCATAGCTCGGAAAACTGACGGCCGTTGGGGCAGAAAGGTTCTTGAATGGAGACCACGAACCGGAAGGCGTTCATTGGGACGGCCCCCTACTAAATGGACGGATGACCTGTTAAGGGCAGCGGGTAACCGATGGATGCACGTCGCGTGTGATCGGCTGGTCTGGAAATCTTTGGGGGAGGCCTATGTTCAGCAATGGACGTCTTCCGGCTGACATGATGATGATGATGTTTTGTAAAATCATGAATAATAAGATTGTATTTACCTACCTTTTCACAGTGTCTTCTTTATACTAAATGAATTATAAATTCAACTACACTTGAATATAACGCCACACCGAGCGCGAGTTAGTAACTTTATGAGTCGACTTTAGCCGGCAGTTTCACCATCGGTACCGGTACCAAATAATAAAGTGAATTCCCGGAAGAAATCAGTACCGGAAATTGCCGGGAACAAACCCTAGTTTGGACTATGTTTGAGTAAGTACCTACCTGCTTACGGTTTCTAGCCACCTTCGGTGACGATTATGGGAGCGACCACGCTCGAGTTAACCTGAAAAAGCTTTGTTTCCATGCAGTAAGAGTTCTAATTGCAAGAACATAAGGCCTTTTCTGACAGACACAAACCATTCCACGTAGTATCTCCCTGTAAGGTACTAGATAACTACAGTACTGCCGGCTGATTGTGTACAGTCAACAACTGTACAGTTGCCATTTTGTACTTTGGACCGTTCTTATCGTAAGCGGTATAGAGATGGATTTAAGTCTTAAGTGTCAAGCGTGACGTGCTCTTGACCCTTTACATAAAATAGCGTATGGCTTAATACCTAATACATAATGGCGTAATACCTAATGGCATCGATATTCTGTCTTTCCGGCTCAATGTTGACATTTAAGGACTTCTCAAAATGCAGCGTGTAGGTGACCTTGGATTAAAGATAAAACAAAACTCACGAGAAGTTGTAAGAGGCAAGAACTGCGAACTGCCAATGTGGTCCAGTGTAGTATATCGTGGAGCTTTAATTTCGAACACTGGTGGATGCATAAATTAAGTGAAACGACGTATGGTATGTATGGTATGTAGAACAGCAACGGATAAGCTGAAGAATATAATAATATGGAGGAATAAGAACATTACCAAGGCCACTAAATCCAGCTGGTCTGAACACTAGTTTCGCCCATATTTCTGTTTGCTGCAGAGATAGGGACGCACCGTGAAATTCAAAAAAAGATAGATGCTCTGAAAATATGGTGCCGGAGAAGAATACTTGTGTATCGCGGACGAAGTTTGGTTCAAACGTCTCCATACTCCAAGAAATCGGCATCAAGCAGCGTCTGTCTGATGTGGTATACACTCTCATTTTGAAATTCTTCATTCTCTCTTCTTCATCATCGTTCCATCAAGACGAATATTAGCTCCAAAGAGCGTCTTCATCGTGGTGGATCGATCAAATACAATCTACATTGCGTGAGTGCACGAGAGAGTCCACCAACAGAGAGAGATGGCAGATATCGTGAGGCGCGCCATATCAGCCCAAACAAAATATAAACAAACATAATATCTACTTCGTGACGACCACGACCGCTCAGTCAAGAGTGCTACGAAACAGTAGAAGAACTTGACATTTAACGTAATATTTCCATTAGCTATTTGTCAACCTTTTACCGTTTAAACTAGTGCATCGACTTCATAGGTTATCGCCATTGTTACACATTGGAGATGATTTTTTTCGGATGTAAATCGCATATATTTTTCAAATAAACTAATGTTTCGGACCCTTTACAGGGCCCATGGTCACGCTAGACTGAGGTGGTAACGTTAACTAGTTAATGACTAGTTATGTCTAATTATTATTAGATTTAAATCCGAAAAAGTAGGTTCATATCCTACCTGTTAAAATTTTGACAAATAATTTTTGCAAACAGTATATAATTTAAACGACAATGCTGGTCCGGAAAGACAACATGACAATGCCAAAAACTGTCTCTCACTTTACGACGTAAGTTGGCTATCTGCTTCAAGATAAATGACGTCACTGTCTTTGTCTATAAATATTAGACAATATCACATGCAACGTCGCATACGTTGCTCTGATCCCAAAGTAAGTAACTAAAGCACTTGTGTTATGGAATTTATACCATTAAGTCCATACCATTAACGTCGCCGTTAAGATTAGACTGTCTTTATAAGACATATTATGAGATATATTACGCGAGTATATTCTATCTATACCTATAATAAAATATTGGACTAAGTGGACGGTACTACGATCGAGTCTCAGGCAAGTTCCGGTTTAGAATGAGTCATCCTTTACACGACATATTTAATGTTTGTATGTAATAATCGAAAAAATGTCATTATAAACCAACTACGCAAAGTTGAGTGCACATAAAACAAACATTATAACCACCTCAATCGATCAGCGGTTAAAAGAAGGCATTCAGTTCTCGATTAAACTTTAAGTAACAAAAGTTTTAATGTTCCAGTATTTAAATCCTTCACTCTAGTTGTTAAAATACAGAGTTATTATGTTTTTTGAATCATGTAATTGGTCTAATTATTTTTCTGTGAAAAGGCATTGCTGTTGTTTATGTAGCGTCTGACGCCGGTGCTATTATAGGACATACTTATAATTAATTATTAAATTATTGCACAGGTGAACGACACACCGATGTCCAATATGTCGCACGCGGAAGCTGTGGCTTTTCTGCGCGCATGCGGCTCCGAAGTGCGCCTGCGACTGTACCGGGACCACGCTGCCACACCGCTCTCGCCGATGTCACCTAAAGAAGAACCTACTGATTCTGATGCTCCACTTAATAGACCTAAACCACCGCTAAGGTGAGTTTTTATAACTGAATTTGAAGAAACTGCAACTTTTTATTATCAAGTACATGCACTCAAAAAATGTTGCTCTAAAGGTACTTATTTCAGTGTGAACATGTACTCTACAACTAGTTAATTTAGGGAGTAGTAAGTTAATTTAAGTATCGAGCTTATTAGCTCATCGTTAAGTGGTTAAACCACTAAGTTTTTGCCTTGCAAGGAGAGTCGCTTTTTGTAAAACCTTTTTGAAATTGAATGAATTAAAAAAAAAGCAGCAATACCTAGACAACTATGGTCTGAACTCAAAGATATAGAGAGAGAGCGCAATAACTGATCCAGTAGATTAAACACAATATATCTCTCATTGCCCTGCTCTATTACTACCCTTAACAAACTTCTCAACGATTTTAAAGTCCGAACTCAGGTGACCATGAGACTTAACGATGACCCGAAACGTTGGCCTTTTTAAAAAAAAAACAGATTAAGGTGATGTAGATCCCAAAAAATAGTTTCATTACACATTAGAACAATCACAAAAACCTAAGAACTTTGTATCCCTCCTTTTTCCTTTAATAACATTTCTTTTGCAAAACAGAAGAATTAAAACAAAGTTTTATGACACGTCGATTGTTAATAATCTCCGCAGACCTGAAGCAGTGTCGATGCTATGCGATTTAGCTGCGAGACGGCTAACACCGGACGCAGTCGATAGTTCCCGGTCCCCCTGCCTCTCGCCACGCAAGTTCCGAAAACTTACTAAGGATAACAACCACTACGAACTACCTAATGGTAAGTAATTATTAGACAATAAACTTGTGGAATTGTGGTGTATATACAGGCTGCAAATTGCCCATCCATCGCTAATAGTTAGTTATTATTAAAGGAAATGTTTTGGTATATTTTAAAGCGATCACTATTTGTTAATCGCAAATACCTAAATGCGTTGGTTACCATTTTCCACCAGCAGCGATAACACGACGAATATTCTCACGCTTCTATGTCGCTTCTCGCGCAAATCGCTCCCTGTCGTGCTAGGGCTGCAGATGTAACATCTATCTGTTTGCCGGTTCTAATACCATTAAAGTACTGCGGTACCTACTGAGGCGCATATACATATATTGCACTGTTAATACAATAGTGTATTAACTCAAAAAGTGTTTTTTTTTCCAGAATTTTGAAAAACGAATTACTTCCCGTGAAAGATTTAATAATCTTTCATGATTCATGTACAGGTTCAAGTTTATTACAGACGTCTAAACAATTTCCTACTCGCCAAAAAAAAGTGGTAAAAAATAATTTCATTTTATAAATATTATTAATACAAAATTCCTTTGATCCGGTCGGATTGGAACAGACGTGTTCTAGCAAACCATGCCACACGCTATGCCAACTAAGCCACGGAACGAACCAACGGACCGCACAAATTTTTCTATGTGCTTGTTTGTCGGATCTTTTGTATTTGGCGCTACGGTCAAAAAGTCGTTGAAAACCAAAGGTTACGTTCAGAAATATTATAATCTTGAATTTCACATATTTTGAGTTATAACACGTAAACGTAATAGCAATGCGATATGTATGTATTTATAGATCAGTACAGAATACTAAAAAAACCGTAACGTAAACGTAATAGCAATGCGATATGTATGTATTTATAGATCAGTACAGAATACTAAAAAAACCGAATGTACCTAACCGACCTACTTGTATTTGTCAAATTTGATTGTAACCGGTTACCAGAAAGTGCGCGAAACCGAATTCAGCCCCTAGTTTGCCATCCTTAGAGGTGGAATATTTAAATGGGACCACTACCGAGGTACCCTCTTTCCAACCAAAAAATAATCATCAAAATCGGTTCACACGCGTAAAATACATACAAAAATTGTGTTCATTTTATTTATTATTATTTCAGTGAATTTTATATCATGTATTTTGAATATTTTGACACCTCGATTTTGAAAATTATAATGTACACTTCATAATTATGCAATACACCATAAATTCACCATACAGTCAGCTGTTACTAATACAGTACAAGGTTGCTTACTAACAAAGTATGGACCTATGGTGTATGAAAATAAAAGATTTTTATTTTATTTTATTTTTTGTTTTTTTTTAACAAAACATTGTCGAATTGAGAACCTCCTCCTTTTTTGAGGTCGGTTAAAAAACTATGTTAATTCTCAGGCTCGTTCCTGTAGTCATAGACTTCGAAGACCCGCAACTTTTGATAATACCATTTCCCTCCGCACTAACTTCTGTATCTGGCATTTTTGTCGTAACTAATTATGACGTACGATCTTAGTCAACTTTCAGAAGCAGACATCCTTCACTAATCGCCAATCATAATGTCTACGTTTTTTTTATATACGAATATAACTCTTTACAAGTTTGACAGTTCAACATATGAAGTGCTAAAATACATTACCCTGGAAAATTCCTCCGACATTTAATGGACAAGCGTGGCAAGAGGCTTATATAGGTGACTCGGAATTAGTAGAGGCAAAGCTGCAGAGGCTTGAACACCGCCGTAAGTCGCCTGCTTATCGATATTTTACGGGATATATCACCGAAAGTGTTCTATGGAATTGTGGATATTTCCAAGATCCGCACGAAGCGTGTCGCTTCCACATGTATATGGCGAGCGACTAGAAAGTGGAATTCCCTACCTGCCAACTTATTCCCCGAACGCTATAACTTCGACCTTTTCTAGGCTTAGAGTGAACAGGCATTATTTAGGTGTGCAGGCTACATCGTCGACCTCATTATCATTTTCCACCAAGTGAGATGGAGGTCAAACAAGTACTTATTTCTATTAAAAAAATCACCCAATTCTTCTTAAGTTAGAAGAGGTGTGACTATGATAGATATATATGAAATCCGTGTTGTTTCAAGAGTTATCTTCGACTATATATAACCTACAAACTTAAACACAAAATTACGGACTTTTTTTATGATAGATACCAAGTGACAGGACGAACAAGTCGGGCGCCTGGTGTTAAGCGACATGTCTCTCCAAAGCAGCCGAGGTGCCACTCAGAGCTACAAATCGCAAACATCTGAGGGACATTGCCACTGCGCCTGTCACCCTGAGATATTAGTTAACAAATCCCATGTGCCTGTAATTTCATCAAATTGAACTACCGCACTTATTTAAATGAATCAAATATTATTTATCGTATAGGGTCGAAATTTAAATTCAACCCTGTACGGTGCTGTTTGTTCCTGAACACACATGTTATAGGTACGCTAAATTCACTGAATAAGTCCGTCATATGAAACCCTTGATCAGTTACTTCACGTTTGTAAAACAAAAATAAGTTTATTTCAGACTTAGGTCCATATAAAAGACAAAAATAACACTAAATACGTGTTAGTACGATGTAATAATGCAAATAAAAAATAAAAATGTAAGAACCGAACATTCATGCCCTTCGAGCACTTCGTTATTGGACAACGTGCAAAGAGTCCACCGAGCTAACATCGGGGAGTCTCGGCTTTTACATTGTGCATATTGTACAAGCTAATAGCTGAAACCAGTTTGTTGCTTACACTGTAACATGTTAATTTATTACACGTACTAAAGACTGCCAACTTCACAACCATTGTCAATTCGACCTAAATATATCCATTACTGAATCCAGTTCATTTTAGTTTCACATTGGTCCAAGAACACTTTCCAACTCTGAGTTGGCATTGAATGGTCTAGTTTGTGATGCTAAAACTTTCGTAACAAAAATTGACGTTGAACGAGCGACTGGAACGATTCATTTATATGGATCCAGTGGCACAGTGACGCTGACGATACAGGTGGCAGCGTGGAGGTAGACACTGGTATGATTATAATATTCCAATCCAGCTTCGCTGACCCCCGTACCAGTGCCACTGGATACGTGCGGTGTAAACGCGTCTCGGTAGCCAGTCACCGCCGCGTTATTTCCAGTAGGTCAACATGTATTTGTAGAAATTAAATCAAATTCTTTGAATATGTCTTCAAGGAAATGGTCCGATGAAGAACATTTAAAGATTGTGCAATTGTACATACATTGTGCAAACTATCGCAACAAGGAAATGCGATCTGTAGCTCTACAGAATATTTATGACATAATGATCAATACATAGTACTTAAAAATCCCTCCTCAAATGTTATTCATCCCCTAGTTGTAATTTCACGCTTTAGAGGTGGAATATTTTCTTCAAATTTCAATGATACCACTTCTAAACTACCCTCTTTCCAACAAAAAAGAATCATCAAAATCGATTCACAAATGCCCCGGAGTTATCGCGTAACATACATACAAAAAAAGAAAAAACATACAGCTGAATGGAGAACCTCCTTCTATTTTGAAGCCGGTTGCAAATGAACACTGAAAATGTAGTTGTTGCCGACGTGAAGAACAAAATAAAAATATTAAGAAGTACCTATTCCTATTGCTTGGAATGCGACAAAATAAAAATGTTTATATTCCGAAAATAAAATGGTTCCCCGAATTATATGCTTTCATAAAGGATGTAGCACTAAAAAGAAAAATCAGTAAGTAAACAGTAAGAAGGAAAATAACATGTAATTTATCGTGCTACAATCATTCGTAATTTGATTGTTTCATTGTTCTTTTACTTAATTATCAATCGAAAAATATTAATAGTTTCGTTTAGTTCCACGATCGACAATAAATTTAAAACGTTGGTGGCGCGACCGACGTTAATACTATGATGATTTCAATTAAAATACCAATTCATTGCCTCTCAAGAACCTACCACAGATAATAAAAAACAGTTTCAACGTCTTTACAGAAACCAAGACCTAAAAACAGTAAACGTCTGCGTTCAAGAATAATATCGAAAATAAGAAATTTTAGTGAAATGACCAAAGTGACTTTGATATTTTCCGCATGTCAGTGTCCCAGCTTAAGAAACTTTCCGAAGAACAAGCAGTATTTGCTCGAGACAAGATACAAAGTGTACAAGATTTAGCTTACTGATTTGCGAGCAAAAAACACAAACTGCAGAAAATCATCTTCCAATAGTCAACATCAGATGCAGAGTATGAAAATAAACTTATAACTATTTATTCTGAGAAATATAATTGACAAGACGTTTTATCTTATTCTTGAACAGTAATATGCGTGTAAACTATACAAATGAATATAATTTTGCTTCATATTTCAATATTTTATTACCTACTTCGTAACTATACACTTATATTTAATTTATACACGAAATTACATAGGACGTATACTTTTGGTAGAAATGTATTAAGTGTGTTTAGTTTAGACCACGACAAAAAAGGACAATTACCGATTTTATGCATGTGACGTGAATAAAACCGGACTGCATTTATGTAGCAGTCGTTTCATACATTCATAGCGATGTAAGCCTTAACACAGTTCATAATGATACACATTAAATTCATAATCCGCTAAACCACGTGTTTGAAGCTTAATGCACACGGCAAACACTAAGCAACGTGAGTGTTCCGCGCAGATATGCCGACATCCTACGTTACGGTAAAACCGCACAGCTCGGATCACTCCGAGAGCGCTCAGGAAACGAAGCGGCCACAGCGAGCACACTCAATAACCCTCGCCAGCTCAACCGCACCCACAAGTAGTAGAAAACAAAAACTAAGCCTGACAGGTGAGACGCTGTCGGCCCCTACACGCCGTTATACCACTGCCATTCCGCTTTCACTGCCGATCCGAAACAGCGCACTGACCGACTGCCGGATGCGAAGTCAATATATTTAGGACCAAACGAGACCATTGTAGCTGATAGACCCCTTACAGTACTGCATCTGTCGGTCATCGACACAGGCCAGACACTGCCGAAGCTACTTACCTTATCTGCATTTCGTGTTGTTTATTAGTCTTTGTCTACCTGTTGTCTGTTTATTTGCGTCCACGGCTCCACAAAAGAGTGTCGGTTCGTAGGTGAAACTTTTACTACAAAAGTTGTTCGAGTAGAGCTTAGCAGTTTGCCTTCATTTTCTGCATCGTAGTGTTATTTTCACGAGAACATCGAAACCTAAGTGCAAACCATTACAAACTTTCATTTTCGCACTTCTTTTCTACTTTTCTTTATCACTTTCGATTTGCTATTCTACATATATATTTTACGTGTACAATTATTAGGAAATGAAACTAATTTTCCGGATTTAAATCGCGTATATTTGTTTTTTCAAACAAACCGAC